TTATTTCTAATGAGTTCCATGACTGATTTGTAAATGCTTAGAATATTTCCATTTTTCTTTCACAACTATGGCTTCTTTCACCCCTGTTTCAGACCATCTCTCCTCTCTGTCCAAAATAAGTACACTCTGATCTTCAAAGGTGTGTCCTTTGTTCTTGCAGTGCAAGTGTCCAGCTGAATCTCACCCACAGTTACTGGCTCCTGTGGTTTGGTTTCTCCCAATATAGGAGGCTGTACAGTCCTCACTGCTCACTGCTCTGGGTCACATGAGCAGCACCGCTCAGCTTAGGTTTGGGTTTTTTTCTTTGGGATGAACCTGTTTTTGCCTGATTTTTTTGGGTTGTGTTTTGAGAAAATCCTCTAGTTTCTCAGAGATTCCTGAGTCATGGAATTACAATGTTTTTGTGTCTCTGTTTTGTTAAAACATTTTGTTAACATGGGATTTGTTTCTCACTGGATAAATGTTCTGAGCCTAAAGGTTTGATTTTTCTAACAGTTTCAGAATGAGATGCTGCTGCTGCAGTAAAACATCCAGTTAATTAGAGACTTCATTCTCCCCTGTAGTAACTGGATCAGCTCCCCATGTTTAAATCTAACAGAATCTGAGGTCAATTTAGCTTGTAGCTGGAGGAGTCATAAGCATAAAAGCGGAGAAGCTCTCAAACATGTAACACAGTTTGCATGCTGCTTAATCCTGCTGTTCCACCTCAGTGAGGTCATTTCTTCTGCTGTTGGGCTGGTTCTGCTGTGGCTCAGTTCAAGACCTAAAAGAAACATCAAACATCCTTTATTAGCCGTTAAAATCATACTGCTTGGAGCAACAGGGAAGATTCACAGGAACCAAATCATGTTGTTACAGAATCTTTCCTGCTGGGCTGAACAGCAAACCTCAGAAGCAGGTGAATTATGGGGTGGATTAACCAGTTAGTATGAATTAACCATAAAACCCATGTTAAAAAGGCAATAATAGTACTAGTAATTAAGTCGTTTACACACTAATGATGGAAAACAGTGTAAATACAAAACATTTTCTTCAATACACTGACATTAATCCTCTATGGCTCCATGAAAACACAGACACAACTGCTGGAAGCGATATTAGAAATAAAAATAGTTTAAAAAAAATAAATTACCAGGTTTGAGGACCCAAATGCAGAGGGTGAGAAGCAGGGGTGAGTTGTTGCAGTTTTTTTTTCAATGAATTAACACAGGTAACAGAAGCAGGAATCCAAAAGTCCAACATGAAATGTAAAACGAGGAGAGATGAGGTAAGATGAGGAACCAGCACTGAGGAACTGCACAAGGAGAGTATTTATGGTAGGCTGAACAAAGAGAGGACTAACGAGCAGATTGGGAGCAGGTGTGAAGAGAGCAGTCTAGGAAGGAGCTAGGGAAAAGGAGACCAACAGAAGAGGCCAACAAAGGGGAACAAACAAAAACCGAAGAACTCATATATATAGAGGAAATACAACTAAATAGGAATTCAACCAATAAAACTAGAAAACATGGAGCAAAGTTAAACATAACAGAACCAAGACCATGGCAATAGAATGCTGAAATAATGCATTGAAACAAATTCTAAATCAATCAATTAAACCAATGCATGATTTAGTTTCCGGATTTAGCTTCCTAATGCGGATTTAGCTTCACAATTGCTAATAATTAGCATTAATTCGATTTACAAAAATCTGTTTTATTTGCAGGTATTCTTCCAGAAATGTACTACTTTTACTTTTTAAGCTAAAGCTTTTGCAGAAAGGATCTTATGGACCTTACAGAGGTTTTAGTCAAAAGAATCCATCAGGGGTGCAAAACGATCATTTTAAGATATATTTAGGAGAGAATGTACACCTGACTACGTCATATGTGCAGTAACTTCCTCAAGATTATAAATCTACTTTTGAATGTGCTGGAGTTTTTGTGGTGCAACATCTAATGTTTTTTTTTAGAGGAAATGTTTACATGCCGTATGACTTATAGCAATAAAAAGATTGAAAATATTGTTGTTTTTTAAACAAGCTAGCAACATAAATTCATTTATTGAAGGGATACAGTGGGTATGCCGAGCAGTCTGTGGCTAAGGGTCTTGCTCAGGGACCCAGAGTAGCAGTCTGTGGGAGTGTGTGGAACTTGAACTCCCATCCTCTGGGATCCAGGCACAATATTCTAACCACTAGGCCGCACCACATCATGATTTCATACAGTTTTGTCTATCGAGTGAAATTCCCCTGCCAGATTATATTTCAGCTACACCAATGCAAAGCACTTTACAGAGACAATTCAACCGAATCATCCAGTCAGATTGGTTCAAAGTTTCTATCTAAGGAAAACCAGCTGATTGCATCGACTCATTGACTCCAAAGCAATTTCTCACAACAAGCTTGTACTCTACCAGTGAGGCTTAGCATGCTAACTGCTGGCTGAATCATTTTATCTGTACTGCAGGTGTTTCTATGGGTCACACTGACGTTTTATATATGCATGCTTTATCTGATCTTGTACCGTTGAGTGTTTCTGTAAATATGGCTAATTTCACAGCAGTTGAGAAAACAAATGACAACAATTTGACTTTTCTAATATGATAGAAAAACATCACAATAAATATAAGACTTTGATAGATGTGCTGCTGCAGACTTAACCCTTTAGTGCCAGGTGTATCATATTTGATACATGAGATTTGGATTTCCAGGTTTAAAGGATTAAATTAGCCAGAGGGCCAATGACAAGTCTTACACCAAACTGTACGAATGTGCAACATTTCAGTGAATCATGTTTATTATTTGAAAATACGCTGTATGTCTTTAATCACTATTCTAAACAAAACAGGATTATTGTTAAACCTGCATTGAAACATTTTGTGGTTTAGCAACATTCTGCTGCTGGTAAAGCTTCTAAAATGTGGTGTGAAGCTGAGTAACCTAGAGAGGGATAATTGTTTAAACTTGAAAAAGCTACTAATTCCGGTTTTAGTAACGCCCTTCATTAAATTATTAAAAACATAAGACAGATTCTGTTGCTAGAGGACTTCAGGTAATGACTGTTTTAAATCTTGAATCTGTCAAAGATATGAATGATGCTAAAACATCACTGCCATCCAACAAAGGAGTACAACTCCCAGAAAATATTGCAGACTTGTGGCACAGACATTACTGTGAATTATTTGACAGTGAAAAGTGAGAGCATTGTGATCAAACATGTTGATATGACCTATAGTGTATTAGTCTATATTCACTGAAGTGAATGCAGCCACCTTGAAGCTTGAAAATAACTAAGCTTGTGGGCTAAACTGCATTAAAAAAACTGTTTAGAACTGTACATTTACAGTCATATGTTTATATTACTTTTTTAACTATTTTTCAAGGCTTCACTTTTAAATAAGATGAAACTGTCCAGGGAGCTGTTCCAAACGAAATTTATTTTTATTTTACACTGGTGTACACAAAATGCAAATAAAATCTGTCTAATGTCTAAAAAAATAAAAAATAAGAGCAGAACATCTAAAATGTGCATGCTTTGGATTATGTCTACTGCTGTCCATATGCTTTACAGGTTTTTAAACCATGAGCTCTTTGTTAATTTTCTGTTGTTCTGGTTTTTGTCAGGAAGGATAAGGCAGGTAAATTTAACAGCTTGTAATCTACAGACTCATAGTACTTGCTATTACTCTTCTGAAGTCTTATATAATAGTTTAATATATCATACATAAGACTGAAAATATATATTCTAACAAGTGAATCTCAGTATGGCTTTATAGAGAGGAATGAGACTGATACATGCATGTATTCATTAAAAGAAAGAGTTTGAAAAATCTTAGTTTTAATTATTCTGTTTTTCTGTGCTTTATTGATGCCACAAAGGCATTTGACAGAGTAAATCATGCAAAGTTATTTAAAAAATGATCAATAGACATTTTTCCAAATATTTGGTGCATATTTTTGTTATGCAAATTAGGTTATGCATATAAAGTGGGACAGTGCACTTCTGAGCCCTTTCATGTCAGCAATGGTGCAGGACAGGGAGGAATTCTCTCTCTGGCTCATTTTAATGTATATATTGATGAACTGTCCTTAAAGTTAAAGCTTGTAAAGTAGGCTGTGTCTCTATAAGGAAAATTGTCAACCCTTTCATGTATCTGGTGATAATCTAATCATACAGTGCGGTATTAAAACAACTGGCGAAAATTTGCTTTGTGTTTGGAAAATAACATGATTTTATATATATATATATATATATATATACATGCCAGCACGCTTACAATGTAATGCAATCCAGACCTGCACAGCGCCCCCTACCGAACAAGATGGGTAGCCCGGTCAGCAAGGACCTGAGGAAGAGTGGCTGCTGACGTCACTCTGCTGCACCCACTGCTCAGAATGCTTTTTCGTTTTCGAGTTATGGACAGTGCTTTGCCGTCAGACCAAGACAACAAAAAAGCAATATCCGTTGTGTTTTCTCTTTGATTATTGCATAAAATGTGCAGTCTTAAAGAAGAAATGCAAATGCAAATAGGATGATTGATTACTAATTTCCTTTATGAGTCAAGTAATGCAGCCACATTCTTAAAATGAAAAAGCATTTCTGAAAATGGTTTTTCATTTTAAAATTTTACATTTCAAATAGAATTTTGGTATGTATTTGCTGGGGTACATTTTGAAAAATAAATCTCAAATGTCTTTTTCTTTTTCATTTTAATTAAGTAAAAGGATGAACGGTGTTGAAGAAAATGAAAATGCAAACAGGATTTTTGATTACTAACTTCATATATAAGTCAAACAATGCAGCCACATTCTGAAATATGGCAATGATTTGCTTCCATAGTATTTTGTCTGAATTGCTGCTTTGTAACAAGTAAAGGTGAAACATATTTGGAGATGATGTAGAGGAAACAGTGATCTGACCTTCATCTAGGAGTTCAGGATAAATGACACCTCAGCCTTCCACCTCCAGCTGTATCATCATGCAGTGTTGGTTCTCATTGGTTCTCTCCTCTTTCACTCACAGGTCCAGCAGCAAAGACCAAGTACGTGAGCTACAACGACGTTGTGATCTAAGTCCATTCCTCCATCTGAACGGGCGCTGCAGAGATGTCAGCTCTCCTGGCCTGATCCTTTTTGGCCCAGGGGAGAGAGGGTTACCGTTTTTTGTTCTCATGCGTTCCACCAGAGATGTGGAGGATCTTCAGCCTGGTGGGATTTTTCCTCTGAGTGTGAACTCATGGAGTGGAGATGAAATGTGATGGTTTTTTAATGGGATCAGCCGAGGATAGAAGCTGAACCCCTGGAGATCCAAACTGCTCCTGTTTCTTAACTCTGGACCTGAAAGTTCCTCAGCCTCCCTGTTGATCCATCCGTTCTTTAAGGCTTCCATTTGGTCCATTCTTTGGTACTTTTCTTTCTGGTGCTGAGATAATTCTCACGTCACTGATGGATCCACCCTCCTTCCTGGTTTCACACATTTTGTTTCCTTTCTTTGTGTATTATTGAAGCCATACTGTGATTCACACCTGGAGCGCTGTGCTCATGCTGCCACCTGGAGGCTAAAACGTGTGTAAAGTTCTGAAGCCAGAGCCGGCCTGTTGGGTTCTGAATGACCTGAGAGGCACCATGAACACACCACCTGCCCTCCCTCCGTTTGCATATTCCAGCCTTCACAGCTTCATGTAATTATTGATGGTGCATGTTTTATTTGGTCCGCAGGGTCGTGCTCGTGCTCTAACTTTGGGGAAAAAAAACATCCCAGAAAACTTTGCAGGGTTCTGGGAGGACGAGATCCGAGATGTGAGAGGAAGTAGCAGCTGTGACGTGACCTTGGATCCACTGCCGTAACAGTGCTGTTCTTTATGTGTGCGTCCGATTTTCCAGCTTCTGTTCTGCAGTGTTTCATGATGTTTCATGATGTTCCATGATGTTCCCCCCTCCATGCCTGTCTCCGTCTGTGGCTTTTTGTGTTTATCTGTGACGGATCACAGAGGTGACGATGTCTGTGGAAAGCTATCAATGTGCCTGTTCTGCATGTTCAGTCAGATCTAACTGATCTCAGGAGACCAGAAACCGCTTTTAATTTAGAGAAACATGGAGGTTAAGGTGAAACCTCTGTGGTTTGAACTCTCTGAGAGGCTCGGTGTGGATATGAGAGCCGAGGTCTGTACTACGCAGCAGGATCAGCATCTCTTTAGGATGACCGCTGGTTCGTCTCTGGGTTTTATGTCATTGGGCCGTAAATGCTCCTCGTCTGAAGACCAGCACAATGGTTCCGACCAGTTCAATGGGTTAAGTTTGATGTTCTTTTGTTGATGTTGGTACCAAATGTTTGCATGATCCACTGAAGCTCTGCCTTCTTTACTGTCTTGGGGTTTCCATTCCACCCTAGAGAAAGGCGGGTGGGGGTTGTATCAGAAAAGACCTGAGCTTTGTGACCGGGATAATTATCCTGTTAGACGTATAGGACACTGTGGTCCTAAAGAGCTGCACCTTAAGACCATCAACCACTGCAGGAAGACCCAGATAGGTTATCACTATAGAGCTCCTCCATCATTGGAGCGGTTTGCTTCCTCAATGACCAGATTCTTAAATCTTAAAACCTCCTCGTTCCACTTAATAAGGTGCAGCAATTTGATCATAGACTCTTACCAGGCACAATTTAATATATTTAGATGATTATGGTTTTACTTCTTAAAGGTCTGGTCAGTTTGTTGTTTGGTCTTCTTTTACCATCTTGGTACATTTTGTACATGAACTCCCTCACTTTCAGACGATAAAAAAAAACAAAAAAAAACAGGATGATTTGGTGCAAAGCTCACATAGACTGAATCTTTGAGGTTAGTTAAACCAGAAAAACCCAAGACGACGTGGACATGCTTATCCTGCTCCATGGTACAAACCCCTGACTGTCTCCATTTTGTTTGTACCTTTGTTGTTTACTGGTTCTAAAATATTGACTCTAATCACCTGATTGGTAGACCTCTATCAGCTGGTTTCTGGTCCATTTATCTTTCCAGAAGGAAAGATAAATTATTTTAAAGCTTTTATTGAAAGGTTTATGGTCACAGGATGTTCCATTTGAACATATTGACTTCCCTGGTAAGTTGTGGGTATCTGATGATACAGAGCTTTTGTAAACAGGACGTCCTTTGGTCCACTCATCCCTGAATAACCCGGTGATATCATGGACTGCTGATGTGGAGATTGTCAATGCATGCCTGATATGTTCGATGTTGAAACTGAATCAGAAAAAAAGATGAAAATAATGAAATTGTCACAGCACAGCTGATTCCACACGTCTGCTCTGAAACGTAATGTTCTTTTCCTTGGTTCATGTTCTTTTACTGTTGGTTCCTCTGATCGTTTCTGCAGAATATGGCTTTGATTGGTTTCTTATTTTCCTGGAGAAGTTCTGGGACACAGAAAAAGATGAGTATATATATTTAAAAAAGGAAGCATGTATGTTTTCTACTGTTTGTACTTGGTATTTTCCTGTTGCCCTTGCTGCTTCTGTGCCAATGTTGTGGGAGAGATTTACATTTGGCCACTCATGCAACTATTCTGTGGTGTTGTCTAAGAATGTATTAACATGAAATAAAAACATTTGTTATTTTTTTTACATGTTTCCAAGAATGCCTTTCAGTACACATCTTAAAACCTCCTCCCTGGAGCTTCGCCTTCTTTCAGCCGAACATGAACATTCAGTCTAATTTCTTTGGCCCAAACTGAGATTTCTAAAGAGAAATGGAATTTATGAGCTGCTATCAAACTCAGAATGACTCCATTCCGGTCCCAGAGAGGCCCGTTTTTCATTGGACACAATCAATAGTGGAAAATCTACAGCACGGATGAACAAACACTCACCTGGCTCAGAAGCTGCTGCAAAACTTCCCACATTGTGATACGTTGTTAAAACAGGAGAAGAAGAAGAAGAAAGCTAAGAGGGGCCATCTTTGGCCAACAACTTTAATAATCCCCAAATACAATAAAACCACAGCAAATTAATCCAAAAAAGGTGTAAAAGTATTAAAATTGATCCTGGAAGGGAGTAAATATTGCATGTAAACCTGTCTGCTAGAACACTGTGCTTCCACTGGTGTGTGCAGAAAATGCATCATTAGGCATTTATGGATAAGAATTCCTCTGTGGCTTCAAAACCTCAGTTTGTTGGAGGGGAAACAAGCAATGGTCTGCAGGGCTGTAGGCAGAGAGACCAAGACCTCCACTGACCACTACTGACCACTTTCAAAGACCACATTAATGAGTGTTTGTCTGGGAAACCAGAACCAAGGCGGGATCAACTGCTCAGTGCAGCGTTCTGGTTTGAGTATAGAAATATCTCTGCCTTCATTTAAATTTGGCTCTCAGCCCCATTCAGTGCTGCAGCACAGGCCTGCAGAATATAGTCCCAAAAATGCAACATAATACCATAATGCATCATCACACTATTCAATTATCACCCTTATCTAGAATTTTGGACCAGAGGGTGGAGACAGTTGCTAATGTCATCATTACACCATTTCCTAATACAGTGGAATCAGCTTATAGTTTTCACAGATATATTAATCAACCGCTTATACAGATCAAAAGGCTTGGGACAGAATCATTTCTATACAAATGCTGTTGAAATAATTTGTTTATAGTGATTAAGAAATCTGCTTATGTTCATTTTTGGCCATTTTATGAATGTAAACATGTGTAAAAATAATTTTTAAAACTACGTGTACATCTCGGAGGACGTACAAGAGAGCTTTAGTGCAGGTATCAGTGATGCGCGCAGCAAGGAGGGGGAGGAGGAGGATGAAGAAGAGGAGACCCTTCCAGAGCTGAGATGAGGAATGCAGTTTGCATTTTAAAGACTAGTCTCCTGCATGTTGGTTTCAAAAACTTTGACCTTTTACATCATTTTGAAAAAGAAGTGAACTCTGTGTTGGACAACACTCTGATCCAGGGAACCATGGATCAATATGTTAAGTGATTTCTTATTTGCGGCGCAGCAGAAAAGCAACACAACACAGAGGTAGGCTAGCTTTAATTTTCTGTAGTTGTGTGTTGTTCTATGAAACTGTTTGTTTCAAACTTTATTTTTGGACATGTTAAAAAAATGCACTGGCGGCACAGCAGATCCGACTTACAGAATAAGTTACATAGGCCTACTGTAGGCTATCAGTACTGCAACAGTACTGTGCTGTGATTATGCATTTGTTTCAAACTTCATTTTCAGACTTGTTAAAAAAAATGCACCAGCAGCACAGCAGAGCCGACGCACAGCACATAATAAGTTACGTTGGCTAATAGAGGTATGTCTGCGCACAGCACAGTACACGGTAATTAAACTTGCATGGTACTGTAATAAAATTCAGTAAATGCAGAAGCTATCCATTTAATTTCCTTTTTCTCGAAAAGAAAAACCATACAAATGGCATTTAGATGATATTCTGCATAGAAAAAATAAGTGAAATAACGGTAAATTCGGTTTTAGTAATCAACTGTTTATAGTGTTCAAATTGGCTCTGGACCAATGTGAACTATAAGCGGATTCCACTGTATTATGCAAAACCCTTGCTGCAACACCTGAGGTCCGAAAACAAATAATAATTTAACTTTATTGATCTCACTTCGGAGAAATTCACCTCTGCATTTAATCCATCCCCTTGGGGAGCACTGGGCTGCCATCGTGGGGTGGCTGAAGAGCCATCGGGGGTTAAGTTTCTTTACCGGAGACCCAGAGTGGGATTGAAACTCACAATCTCACGATTCCAAGCTCTATGCCTTAAGCACCAGGCCACCACTCCCCTGAGAACAATCCCAAACAGACCACTATGATAGAAAAAAACACCCATCTGTCCATCCGTCTGTGGGAAAGGCAGGTACACCATGGATGGGTCACCAGTTTTTTGCAGGACAGAGACATACAACTATGCACACACATACACACACCTAATTAACCTAGCAGTCATGTTTTTGGACGGTGGGAGGAAACCACAACACCAGCTTGGAGCGAAGCTTAGTGGAGGAAAAATTGCCGGGGAAAATGTCTTCTATTTTCATATTAATTGGATTTTCAAAGTGCTTCAGCCGACCAGTGCTGACCTCTTTGGTGAGAGCTAAAAGCTATTTTCTTTCTGTCAAACTGTTATTTTTGTTAAGAAACTAAACTCATTGTTCGAAATTGGAATAAGTTGTGTTTTTTCGACAACTGCTGTAAATATGCAGGAGAAAAGCTGTCTCTTTGTTGCCTTTGCTTTTAACCATGACACATATCTGACTTCACAGATGAAAGGACTGACTGCTGCTCAGGTCTATTCCTGTTAAATTAAAGAAATGAGGGAAATGTTTCCAGTGAGGGCTTCAAATGCATCTGATTCACAAATGTCGATAAGCAATCCAATGCTTCAACGCACAGTTCAGAAGCTGAATAACAAAAAGCTTCCAGTCGTCTAAATTAGTGCTGAGCTTTGGACATTTAAATTGCTGATCTGGTTTTTAAACTTTTTCTCCACCTTGCTTCCTGCTCTTCACCATCTTATCTTTCGATTCTAACAGAAAAATCTGATGACAAATATTTCAGTGTTTGAACATTTCATTTGAGATAAGCTTGACCTGCTGGTGAGGCAATTAAAGGAGGAGAATGGACCCAGACAGGTTTATCGTGACACCATCGAAGGCGGCTTCAGAGCTGAAAGGCGGCATCATCAGCGGAGCTGGAACACAACGCAGGGATTGGACAAAGGAAGCTGGAAGTTATTGGTCTGCTCCCACTGATTTGGCTCCACAGCATCAGCGTCTTTACACTTGATGAGGTCCTCGCTGCAATCTGCTGGGAGATAGCAGGTGTCAATAGAAACTAATTTAAGGCATCCAGAGCAAAGCCAGTTATTAACCCGTCTGTGGAGGCCCAGCTTCTCCTCCTGCCTCCCCATCTTTATTCTGAGGACAAACAGGATGAACGGGAGATGAACAGACAGCTTGAGTCTGCAGGATTCGACATTTTGTCTTTTGTAACTTCTTAAATTAAAGCATCCCTGAGGAGACAGATTCAGCAGCAGACAGGAATACTTTTGTGTTCAGGAGCTCAGTAATTCTTTAAATGGCCTTGGGACTTTTTAAGATGGATCTCAGGTTCTAAAAAGCTACCAGAAAGTTTACCTTGGCTTCTGTTTATTGACATGAACTAATCGTATTTTCTTGGAAGCATAAAGCTTGCATGCTGAGGACATTTCTGCAGACGCCCCTCATCATCAGACTAATTATTGAACCAGTAATAAGACCTTTTAAACATTTCCACCTTTAGTGTTATTCTAACCTCAAACACAGTGAAGTGCAGCATTTGAGGAGGAAGAACATGATTGTTTTTAACAGCTTTTGTAAATATAGCCTGAAAAGTGTGACATGTTTTTTGGATAGCGGCCAGACCTGCAGACTAATGATCACAAGTTCTAAATCCCATAATTATACTGAATAAAAATATGCATGTGACTCATACATGCACAGTATAAGATGCAGGATGGTTTCTGATGCATTCATGCATCTTAACCTGTGGTTTGTGACTCTCTGAATTTGTGTTTGGACTTTTTAAGACTCCTGAATTGGCTTGA